ACTGGAGTCAAATGATCCCCACCTCTGTTCTTCGAGTGCATCACTTTCAAATTTGTTTAAAAAAAAAAAAAAGTAAGAAAAAAATAAAAGAAGACAGTGAAAATCCTTGGGATCCACTGCTGTTCCAAATCTCAAACTCCTTTGGCTCTCAAAGCAAGACCTTAGAGAGTGTCTGTCCACACTCTGTTTCTCTAGCTTGGCAGAGACTGATGGAAACCCAAAGTAAGTCTTCATTCAGCCAGAATGTTTCTAAAGCACTTTGTGGGACTTCTGACAGCTCCTGCCATGGGCAGATATTCAATAGGGGGCCGGCTACCCAGGTAGTATGATCTGAGGGGCGCCAGGGAGGCTCTCTGCTCTGAACAATCTCATCACTTTGTTCTAATATAATTGTTTCAGCCACTGCTCAAACAGTCTGTGCGATTCTAGTTTTTGGTGAGACACAGTAGGCAGTAGAAGTTTCAAAACTGAAAGGTGGGGTTGTCAGTATCTGCAAGCACATGCCTGTCTTCAGTATCAGAATCAGGATTGTCTTCCAGAGGCTGCCTGCCCCTTTCCATGTGATCTGTAGACTTGACATAGCCTCCTTCTCTTCCAAGCCACCTCTCAGTGCCTCTCTCAGGGGAGGAAATACGGTGCTGGTGCCTTTCACTCTGCACCTACATCTCTGGGTCGACTAGGGTGTTATGTCTACCAAGTGCAGAGTGATTGGCTTTAACTGATCATGCATTCCAGGGCATGTCTAGCCCCACGCCACTTCCACTCCCCTGTGGCCTGGACAAGAAGCTCTGCCAACGGAAGCAGCCTTTGTTCTGCAATTAATCACTCCAAGTCAAATGTGTTTGGGTACTATAAGTGATAACCCTCGAGAGCTACGAAGTGGCTGATTTGTGTAGCTGTTGAAATCCAGGCCGTGCGAGGACATCTTAGGTTGTAAGTAGAAACCTTACTTGGGCACAGAATAGGGGAAATGTCACATTTCAGGAAGCAGAAATCATAGGTTAATTCATCATGGAATAACTTTTAATGGAGAAATCCTGATATGTAAGTAGTCAAGTCATCTAAACTGAGGGCCTACGTTGTGTTCCTGCTGCTCTGTCTTGTGAAGGGTACTGGGACGAACCTGGGCGTCATGACAGCAGAGGGAGAAGGCGAAGGTCAGACTCCCAAGAAAAGAATGGAGCTAAAAGAGTGTGTGTGTCTAAGTGTGGCTCCACGGACCTGCCTGTGACAAATGAGTTGGAGTCATGCTTTGTTTCATATTCTCCTCCATGGCTTTTTCCAGTTTACCTTCTTTCCTTTTGTAAGTAACACAGCAACTAATCAAACATGTCCGCATCAGCTGCTTTAGTGAAGAGGTTGCCTTTTCCACTGAGGAGTGAGGCATTGCATCTTTTTTTTCCTTTATGACAGTGCAGAGTTACTTCCTTGACTCTCGTAACTATTAATCATGTGCTCTGTGTGGTTCTACCATTAAGATTTCAGAAATGCCTAGTGAGTGAATTCTGTCAAGAAAGATAAAGTGGTAGCTGCTCCCACAGGTCTCAGGGAGCAGTGGAAGGTCACTTATTTAGAACTGTGCCTAGACACTAGCTCAGTTTCCTCCAACCATGAAGAAACCACTTGATCTAGCAAACTGGAAAGAGTACTCTGTGGATACCTGAGAGATGTCCTAAGACTTGAACACAGGGCCTATTGAACAGAGCTGTCTAACATCTAGCCTAGTAGAAGATAGATGCAGGACCAAGAGGGACATCTATCTATAACATCCTCGAAGCCCCTGAAACATTTTATCTTTCTTGACATAATGGCAATTCCATCTCTGCTTCAGAGAATCCTAAAAAGATAATATCAAAATGCTATCGCTGGTCTTTATCTAACGTGTCACCATATTGTTTATGTTCAGTGCCTATATTCTAATTCGTTACTCAGGTGGCTCCAGTGTGAAGCCAAGGTTGTGTTTCCCTAGGCAGGAGCATCAGACACGCATCCTTTCTTGCATGTATGCTTTTCCTCAGTACACACTGGCTGCTATTTCAGTTTGCTTGAGCCTACAGTGACTCCTGAGGGAGCATATGTATTACAGAAAGGAAGAAGAAAGGATAGGAGGATTTCCAGACATTTTGCTAAAGCATTTATGTGCTGAAGTTACAACTTTTTCTTTCTCAAACATAATCATGTTGGAATTCTTTCCCCTGTATCTAAAATTATATTTGGAGGGCTCAGCGTATAACCCTTAATGTGAAATCTAGGTTCTTTTAATTACCAGCAATGATGAGCAACTGTATTACATTCTAAAGTAAATGTTTAGACCAGAAACAAAAAATAGAACCCACATCTCAGTCAGAATGAAAAACGAGTTCCTAAACAGTTGAATGGAGGAGGAGGTGGAACATCTGTATAGCTAGGAATCGTCTAGCCAGCCTATTTCCAGTTAAAGGCAAAAAGAAAAGAATGTCTTTACCTCCTGGATGAGATAGAAAACCCCTGACCTGGACAAAGTTATATATCTCCTCTGACATCACTCCTTATGGGTAAATGCTATGTATGCCTTCAGGGATCCTGGCATGCATGTGTAAGTTGGCATGTATAAATACTTAGCACATGTTAGGTGGCCTGCAGTTCCTTTTCTCTTACACATTTAGGACACATGGAGCTAATCAATAGCTAGAACTGGACTAAATGTTTGGATTTTTCCCCCAAAAGTCAATGCACAAAGTAAGTTTATGAGTAAGTCTTTACTAAACTTTTAAACTGATTAAAATAGACATTCAGCCCCTTAGATATCTACTAAGAACTGACTTGTACAGACACAGGATAGGTATTGAAATATGGAGGTTCCCCAGTACACAGAAGGCCTGTGGATTTCCTCACATGGTTCTAATGCCTAAATAGAAATAAGACACCCAGCTCTGAGATGAAAAGCCTTAAGTACCTCGAGAGAGGTGCAAAGTGCTTTTTCCATTGAGAAAAGAGAAATTACTCCTGGCTACGAGAGATGAAGCGTTCATGAATTTTGCATGTAAGCAAGTAGTACCAGAATGGAAGACATTTGAGCACATGGGAATTAGCTAGACAAGCAAGGTTAGCCTGAACTGGCTGGCATGTCGAGCCAACTGATGGAGGTAACCATATGTCAACCTTTCTTTAGTTTCCACTTCAACAATGTTAGTTTGTTGTGCTGTATACTCATGTTTGTCTGTCTGTCTGTCTGTCTGTCTGTTTTTTTAGAAGAGCTATCTCATTAGTGGATGCCCTGGTGCTCTGTTTTTTTAATACATAAATTTACAAAATCTTTATTAAGACCAGTGTAGGCATTTACATTACATGGCAATTCATTGTCAGATTCATTGTAGCATAATGGGCAATCACTGGAGGACATAATTAGATACATTTGGAAGGTCGTAAGAATATTCTGTAAGTAACTTAGAAATTAAGCTAAATGGATGTTTTGAGCTTGATATGAGTAAGATATAATAACTATGGTGGAAATTTTTCTTTTTAAAAATTTTTTTTGGATATTTTATTTATTTACAATACAGATGTCATCCCTTTCCCATTTCCCCTCCCTAGAACCCCCTATTTTATCCCCCCTCCTCCTTTATGTTTTTATACCATTTTAATTACATGCATGTATTAAGGTCAGTTCTAGGTTGACGGTCTAGCAAAACAATAGATGCAAATAGTCAAAAAACAAGCAGGACAATAAACACAGATAGTCAAAGAAAAAGCAAGGCAATACCCAATTACTTGAACTCTCCCATGATCATTGTTTCTAAGGGCTTATCAGGATGACCAAAATATCTGAGCCTACTTCCCTGTCCTAGCCCAAGGTCATTTTCATGTCTGAAGCCTACTTCCTTGTTCTAGCCTAAGATTTAGATTCCTGCCTGAAATTACCTCTTTGTTCTAGCGTAATGTCAGATTCCTGCCTGAAGCCCATTTTCTTGTTCTTGGCCCATGTCAGATTCCTGCCAAGCAGCCCCAAAGGCTCTCCGTCTCTCCCACTCTGGCCCTTACAATCTTTCTTCCCCCACCTCCTTGATGTTTCTTGAGCTTTAAGTAGGGAGATTGTTCTGTAAATATATGTATTTATATTAAATTAAATATATTAATTAATATATTTATTAATTGTGGCAGGTATCATAATTGATCTTCTCATTTGAGTTGTAAGTACTCATAAGTATAATATTTATATTTATAAATATTTTGGACAAAGGCTTCTCATCAGATATATGGTTCACGTTTTTTTCCCATATTTTAGGTTTTCTTTTCACTTCATTGCAGTGAATTTATGAATTTGATACTTACAGTGTTCATATGCTTTCTCAAAGTTTCAATTTTCCAAAATTGCCTCAGCATTATCTCCTGTGTAGATAATAGGCCAAGCACACTGAAAGGTGTTCTATGCACATAGAATTCTCTTCATCCCAAACTTCTGTGTTGTTCACAAAAGCACAGCTTCCCCTTGGTCCTCTTAGTGGGCTCGCCAGCGAAAACTGAGCTGTGGCTGAGCAGAGGAGCAGAATGAACTAGAGTTTGATGTAATAGCAGAAGGCCAGGAAGAAAGCCTCTGGCTACCGTTACAGTTCAGATAATGTCCCTCTGGCCAACAACAGACCACATAAAAAGCATATAGAGGGGGAGGTATGTTAATATTTACAATATGCTTTTTCATTGCTTTGATATGTTCAGATATGCCAGTCCTTACCAGTGTATTACAGTTACATGCAGGGTTCTGCATGATACTATGCCCTACAGGTTTATGTTTTAGCTGTTGTTGTTGGCTTTCCCATTGTGGTTTTCAGCTATTCACTGGATAAGTGTCACTGTGACAAGATTACCTAACAGTGCATTTCTCAGAATGTATCCCCTTGGTTATGCTCAGAATACTGAGCACTGAGCTTTGCATTAGGATTTCTGTCTAACTCAGACCTTTTCTTCTTCCTATTCTCCTCTTCCTGTCCTTTCATCCCCTCCCACCCCCGTTTCTGTTTCAGATTGAAAATGGCTCAGGCGTCCGTCAGCAAACTGACATCAGAGAAGAAAGTGGAGACAAAGAAAATCAATCCCACTGCTAGTCTGGTAAGCCACATTTTTCACCTTAACCTCTAGATTTTTCATTATAACTAGGGTACACTCCCAAGAGTCTGTGAATTTAAAGGACAAAATGCAGGGAGGAAATGAAGTATTGGTATCCTTCCTCCTATCCTAATGCCATGTGGTTTAAAAACAAAACTAGACATGTAGGAGCAAAACATGGTCCCATGTGTTTCCACTGCAAACTCAACAGAGGTCACATGTGATAAAGCAAACTGTGCCGCTTGTCATAAGCATCTCCATGTCTCTCCCTCTTATCTCCATGTACCTTCCTCCTGAGAGGTTCCTGAATAGTCACCATCATTCATCCCATTAAAGAAAGAGGCAGAATGTCCCAAAAGAGTTGTTAAAAGAGAAGAGATGCAAAAATGTACAGTCTGCCTAATGTCACCTGGCAAACAGATGACAAAAATCCTGACCAGATGGATGTAGGGATCTCCTCACCTTTCCTCCCTGCACCAGAAACCAGCCAGTCTCCTTATGTCTTCTTAAGTTTGAGAAAGTTGTCATCCAGGGTCCAGTGTTAAAAGTAGCGATCACAATGATTCTCCACACACTGTCTTAGTTACCTTTCCTGTTGCTGTGATAAAATACCCTGGCAAAAGCAACTTACAGGAAATAAAAAGGGTTTATTTTGGCTCACAGTTTGAAGTTTCATTATGATATGGTAGTGAAGACACAGAAGCAAGACTGTGAGGCATCTGGTCACATGGCACCTACAGTCAAGAAGCCGAAAGCAGTGAATGCTAGTGCTCAGCTCACTGTTTTCCTCTTACACAGTCCAGGAGCCCATGCCAGGGAATGGTGCCACCCATGGTGGACAGATCTTCCTAAAGCAGTTATCCTAACAAGATAATCTGTCACAGGTGTGACCAGAGGTTAACTAACCCCTCACAGATGTGCAGGGAGGCTTGTCTCTTCTCATGTGGTTCCAGATTTGTCCAGTTGAAAATCAGCATTAGCCATCATACAGACAGGAGCCAGAACTGATACATGATTAGGAACCCTGTATTATTAGTAAGGACACAGCCTGGGTTTAAATCTCAGCATGGCCCTAGGACCTTAGTAAAGCTGCTTTGCTTTGTTCTCTTCAAGGAAAAGAGGCCAACGATGAGACCACCCTTAATTTAGGTTTATTTTGAGGAAACTCAGGAAAGGCAGGTAGAGTACCAATTACATAAAAGCAGTTCAGTAAATGTCAGCTCCTGTTCCTGCTTCCATGAATGAACTCCAGCAGGTCTGGACCCCGTGATAAGGAACTGCAGTAGGGAGCCAGTGGGAATAGCTTTCTCCTCACTGTGTGCTAGGTTAATAGGATCAGGTAACTGGCGATTCCACAGGAAAACACATTAGGAATACTTGAACTTTTAGGGCATTTAGTACAGTTATCCTAGGCATTTCAGATGAGAATGTAAGTCATCAAAAATAATGGATCTGCTTTTTTCCTTAAACAACAGAAAGAAAGACTGCGTCTGAAGGAAGCCAGTGTGGCCACCAACTAAGATGAAAACTGAAGGAATTTACAGTGTGAGAGGCAGCACCTCAACGCTCCTGCAGACACGAGTACCACGGAGAGTTCCTGAGAGATCAGTTGAGGACATTTGCTCATCTCCTTCTGAGGTCATCTACAGAGAATGCCCTGTGCCTTCTTTGAGAAGTCTCTTGTCAGTCCACGGAAACAATGCAAAGCTATGTATGGGAATACTACAGGGATATTTAACTGTTTCCTACAGAAGTCCAAAGTCCACCCAATAATAAGATCAAAAGATATACCATTCTTTTCATGTTTTATTTAAAGCAGAAATTCTAAGCTTTCCAGTGTATAACCTTGTCATGGGAAAAGAGGTGCATGTTTTACGGTGACCCCCGAGCAATCTCAAGCCTTGATCCTCACACACTACAGTTTTTTGTATTCTTAATTTTTATCCTGCTGTATCAAGATCCTATGGCATTTTCACCAAAAAAATATTGCAACTTACCAGAACTGTTTTTGAAAAGTTTAGTGCTGTGTATCTTACAGACTAGGGAAATGATTTTTGAGAAGAAGAATGATGATGGTGATGATGATGGTGGTGGTGGTGATGATGATGATATAATGAGGCAGGAAGGATTAAAATTCCACATGGGTGGAGAAAGAATAATAACCATAAACCTTAATCTGGAGAAGAGGTTATGATGCTGAAACTGTACATCAGCTATTGAGATAGGCCCACTCAATTAATATGGCTTCCTGGCCAGTAGGGATTCTGTACCAATTTCTAATAGAAACGAGGCAAGGACAGACTTGCGTCAAGGGGACCCACTTGGGTGAGGGACCCTGTGGCTTCAAATCCATTCTGGACAGCAAATGAATGCTATGCAGACATGCAGATGATGTCTACGCTGTATTCTACAGTTTGTATCCTGGTCTCTCCCAACACCCCAGCAATTTCTAGACAGGAGAGCAAATGCCACTGTCTCCTTCTACCATGACCTTGACACGTGAGCATGTGAATGAAGGTAGCCAGGGGGCATTTGCTGTCCAAAAAAAAAAAATGTATGAACAGAAAAGAGATTTTTACAGTAATGTGAAAGCAGAATGTATATTTAATATTAACCTGTGAATGGACTATCAAGGACAGGTGGTGTTTTCTAACTCTGGCCTCTAGATCACAGAAAAAAAGCCAGCTTGCCTCCTTTCCCTCCATTTTTACCCCTAAACCACCACTATGTAAACTTCCCTGGTGAGAGAACAAGAGGAGAACTGGGCATGAACTGGAGAGTGTATTGAAGACTGTAGTTTCTAAGCCTCAATGTAACGACAGACCATGCTTTCCTGTTGGTGGAGACAGTCTAGAGTTGCTCAGAATCTTGAAGCCTTTGCTGATCTGAATTCTTCTGGCTGCCATGTGATGCCCGCCTCTTGCCTCAGCAACTTTCGAGAACCTTTGAACTTGCCAGATACCTTAAGCTATTTCCAGAATCTGCCCACCAGTCATCAGCCCCCCATCCCCACTCAGGGACACTCTGATAATAGACACAAGCTAAGGAAAGCAGCATTGTAGCCTGACATAGTGCAAGCCTTTTAAAGCAAGAATAGCTGGCATCTTATAAGTCACTGACGGCCATTTTCATATAGGTGCTGTCTAAGGAAAGAGCATGGTCACATGGTTTATTTTCATCAGAATAAAGGGATTGGGACCACAGAGACAATCAAATATGGAACTAGAATGGCATGATGTCACCATTATTTTCCTGTGGCTTTTTAGTGTTGTTTCTCATCATTCTCACTGTGGGGAAGACCAAGAGACTTAACTAACAAAGCAAATTCCACTTGCAGACATCCTTTACTCCGTGGTGCCCTTGTTAGTATTGAAGTGCAAAAGAGAAATGCAGTTTTGTTTATAGCACAGGAAGCATCTCAGCATTCTGTGAGATCTACATAAGCCAAGATCTTGATGGATCTTGTGGGTGGGGTCAGTAGGAACAGAGGGTTTTCTGTGATGTTGATGCTACCTCAGGTCTCTGAGATGCTCATGAGTCAACTCAGGCCACACTGTCTCTCTCTTGGTCCTTCAGGACGATAGTAGATCCTGCAAGCTGTCAGGAAGTAGACCATACTATTGTGTGTTGGAGTTGGGGGGTGGGGGCCTCTTTGTTACTTAACATCCTAACTCTATTTTGTAGTACTTACCTTGTCCCCTTAAAAAGTCAAAGATAAAACCAGTTGGGTTAAGGAATGCACAGAGATGGCACAACAGTTAAGTGCACAAAGTGTTCTTGTAGATGACCTGAGTTTGGATTCTAGTGCCCATGCTGAGTGGTTCACAGTCACCTATAACTCTCTCTGGCACCCTCTGCTGTCCTCCACGGGTACCTGCACTCACATGCATAGACACGTTCCCCACACAGAGACATACACATATGCACATAATTAAAAAATAAAAATGAATCCTAAAAAAACAAGTAGGGACAGGATATGGCAAGAGAAATGAGGAAAAACCTAAAAGTATACTTTTGTCCCAAATATCTCATTTGACAAAATAGTTTAAATTGTGTTAAAAATCACTAGCAAGAAGTACATATTTTCTTAGATTTTTATTTTCATTTACCTTTCCCTATTCTTATCAAAGGAAAAAAATACCAGAAGGTGATGAGAAAGCCTCTGTTTCCATAGATTCATTAATATACAAGTAAGTTTAATTGTTGAATCACAAAACAGGGACATTATCAAATCCAAAGTGATAACATCGCTAAATAAGCATGTATGAAATTGGATGGTTTTGATGGCTGGTGAGCGGGGACAAAGAGCCTACCTACCATCTCCTGCTGAGACTTCAGTTTATAGCAGGCCATTTTTTAGTCTACAAAAAACACTTAGAGAATGACGTTGTGTTCTAGAGTTGGATGTGTCTGTTCTTCCTATGAAATCTCCTAAGGGGAGTTTATAAGTGAGCAGAATATCGGGAGACCATGATACGGCAATTCATCATTGAGTTGTGCTGGCTTAAGGGACGCTGCAGCTAAGTAGGGTGGACTGGGCAAAGGAATGAACTTTCCGAGTGTCAGCTGCTTCACCTGCATAAGGAAATCTGCAGACAAGTCTGTTCCCAACAGATAGAGCTGTAAAAGAGTGGATTAAGTTTTAGCTCTCACAAAAGACAGATAATCTTGGATATGTCTTCATCTTCTAGCTATAGAAAGAGACAATCCAGCTGCTTAGAAGCTATGGCCAGTACAGAATTGACTTAAAGAAAAGCACCTCCAAAAACTCAACTCAACATCTCTTCCCCATTGAACTTAACCCCAGTGTTCTTAATGCTGGTGGCAATTGGATCCAGGCACAACCAGACTCAGTTACACAGCTGTATGTGACCAAGAGTTACATTTTGTGTCACCCCTGCTTTCCTGTCAGCTGTTGACACCTTTTAGGAGCTCTCATTATTACTTTCTCCACTCTACACTTCTCTTCTCAAGGATGGGCAATCTACCAAACTCCCTCAAGATAATGCTTTGCCAAGAAGTGGTGAATTTAAAAGTTGAACATGTTTCATGTGAAGCCAGTTCAGTGGCCTTATTTGTTTCAAGACAATGCCTTATATCACATTGTGGGAGTTTGAATACTTAACAGCTTCCTTGGAAACATGGAGACATTAACATGGTAGCTCACTGACTGGGTCTCTTCAGCTGTCATCAGGTTTCTACCAAAAGAATACTGGAAAAGCAAAGAAGCCATATGCTGTCCTTAAACAGAATGTACTGGCCTGTATTCCCCACTCCATCTAAGCCCAACTCCAAGCACCCTATGGCTGGCCAGTGCCAGTGAGCCCCTTTTATTTCTCTGCAGTTCCCTTTTCTTCAGTTTATAGCTCACAGGAACCCTACATGTTATCCCATATTTTTACTATCAAAATTCTTGGTCTAGAAGAGACTGAGTTAACCTCAGCTTATTTGTTTGCTTGCCTTTAAGGAACAGATCAAGCCTACATACTCTACCATACACTGTATACTTCAGACTACAAGCTCCAGCTGTCCTCAGATAGTTGTCTGATTTTAGTCTTAAGTATACAGTGTATACAGTGTAAGTATACAGGGAATCCCCTGGAGGCTGATCCAACTGCTTCCGTGGTTCCACGGTATTTTTCATGGTTCATGTGAAACATGATAGCAGTAGGCTGCCAAAGCACAATGAGTCAGTACGCTTGGGCAGAAATGAACATCCTTAAGGATTTGACAGGGAATAAACAGGCTCTAGCACATTGAGGATGTGACCTAGGCTGAGTGTTACCTTAAAATGCCTTGTGTTCTCCAACTCTGAAGCTATAGAAATCTCTTAGAGAGAATACTCATCTAATAAATAGTATGAGTTTCCAATGTGTTATCTCATATCAAGGAAGAAATAAAGCATATATCAGCTTAGGTTTACCAAAGTCATACCTGCTCTCCTCCACTATTCTCTTCCAGGGCTTTTTTCCATCTTATAAAGCAAGATGTTTTTAATTGTTCACCTTAATTGGATTTCCAAGTCCATACTTCTCAAACAAACCACCAGCCTCATAGACCACTGAGCACTGAGGGAGGTTAGTCTGCCTCTCCATAGCATCACTAATAGATGTCCAAAAATGAGCAATTCTGGGAATCCATGGAGTGGATTTTAGTGTAGTTTATATCTATGGTATAGGAAAAGGAGCAGTTGTCATATACAAATTGTACTGCTTTTCCATTGAAGGGCCAAAAGGCATTTACTGTACATGGTAGGTATGTTTCATGAACTACAAATACCCTTTTTCTTCTTTTTAAAAAAAGATATACTCATTTTTTTATTCTATGTGTATGACTGTTTTCCTACATGTATGTATATGCACCATCTGTGTGCCTGGTGTCTGTAGGAGCCAGAAGGAGGTTATTAGATCTCCTGGATCTGGAGTTCCAAACAGTTGTAAGCTACCATGTGAGTGCTAGGAACAGACCTGTATCCTTGCAAGAGCTACAAGCACTACTAAACCCCGAACCATTTCTCCAGCCCCCCTTTCCCTGTCATCTATCTCTATATATAATCTAAGTTTTTCATGTCTGACCATCAGTCTCTGGTGGTTCTGCACAGATTTTAGAAGGCATTCACTACTCTTAGAAACAAACCCATGAATAAGGAAGAAACGCTGAAAGTGTTCTGTCAGCAGTGATTCAAAGAGGATTTGTGGGGAAGATAACTAAATGCATGCGTTTCTTCCAAAAATCATTAATTTTTCTAATTCTACTATTTT